ATTTGCTTGATGAAAAAAAGCAGATGATGATATTTGATGAAAAAAAAACATTTATTAACCATAAGATAGGGTTGTTGGAAGGATAGGTATTAATTATTTCAATCTGATTCGATCAAGTTTTGTTTCTTTTTCTTCTTTCTTCGTTGAATAAATTTCCAGTGAACCATATGACCAAAGGTGGACATAAATTGAAATAAATAGATGGATTTTTTTTTCTTTGAAAAAATGAGCCACGAAACATTACGATTACTTGATAAATTACTTGATGACTTTTTTTCACTTCTTCTTCTTCTTCTATTTGATATTTTTGATGTCTTGGTTGGTTGGTTGGTTGATTAGTTACATTGTAACTAAATAAATTTTTAATCACTTTTAATATATTTAAAACGATTGAAATGATAAATATCTAAATGGAATGAATTGGTAAAGTTAGCTAGTTTGAAATCAATCTTCATTTGAATGCTGAATAGCTTAAATTTTTTGTTTCTTTCTTTTTTTATCAATTTATTTCATCGACTTTATCATCATCATTTAAAACGGCTTTCAAACAATCTTTTAATCTTCATCAAAAGAGAGCTAAGAGAAACGAAACGTAAAGCGAAAAAGACATTTATCATTTGCCATGCTGTTGACAATGGTGATGAACGATTATATGATGATGATGATCATCGAGAGACAGAAAAAAAAGTGACACTTTGTTTCCGAATTTTGTTACAAAATATATATATCCGCTTCAACTTTAGTTTGATAATTATCGTTCGAGCCATAATCATCTTGATGATGATGATGATGATGATATGGATAATGATTATCGTTTTCTTTTTTTTTCTTCTCAATCAATCCTTTAACGTCGTAAGTCACTCTTCGTTTTTTTGGTGTTAATTTCCAATCTTCTTGTTTTTCTGGTCATTTTTTTTCTGTCACTTTCTGTTGAATGTGGTTACATTAGAATTTTAAACATTTTTTCTTTTTTCTTTTCATTAGAATTGAAAAGTAATTTTTTTTTCTGAAATTTTAATCATCATATGACAGGAATAGCTAATTTATTTGATAATCTCTCTCTCTTTACTCAAACATTTTTACCAAAAAAAAAAATTGTTTCTATCCTTCTCCAATTTCCAATTATCATCATTTCGATCTTTGTTCGTTCGTTTATTTTTTTCCTTGGAAATTCAGAAATTTTTTTTCCCCATTAGAATTTGTTACAACTAGAATTTTAATTATATATTCTTATCCATGATTATCATCCTTTTTTCTTCATTATTGAACCGTTTTTTTTCCATTCAATAAAAATCCCAAAAACAAAACGGTACACATTTGAAAACACATTGTTATTCAATCAAAAAAAAAATGATTATGAAAACATTCAACAAATAAAAAAATTGTTATTCATTCATTCATTGATTATCACATTAGAATCAAATAACAGCAGATTTTTCTTCACAAATCAAATTGAAGAAAAACCCCATACACTTTGAAAAGAATTTGATTTCTTTGGAAGAAAAAAAAGATGATCATAATGTTATCTCGTTTTGATATTGATTTAATTTGATTATTCAATTTTGCTACGAAACAAACAACAACAAAATTGTTGCCTTCACTGTCAATGATTTTTTCTTCGTTTTTCTTTCTTTGCTCATTGCAATAAATGATAGATAATACAATGTATCATTTTAGTTATACATAATGAAATTAAAATGAAAAGAAACCGTTGTTTGTTTATAGCTTGAAATTATAATCATTAAAAAAATTTTTTTTTTGATTAAAGAAACAAAATCAATTCATCAAACAGTTATCATCATTAGCAGTAAATGATTTGATGTATGTGTGTGCTCGTACGTTTCTTGATAATGAATTTGAATAAATTAATGAAATTAAGAAAGAAAAGATAAAATTACATTGAATTCACGTTTTCTTTTTTTTTCTTGGAAAAAATAACTGAATGATTTTTTTTTTTATTTCTTTGTTTTTGTTCGTTAATTTGATTAATTTGATTTCAATGAGAAGAAAAAAAATTGCAAATGTCTTTCTCATGTGTCAAGCATCTTTTTTGTTTCGATTTTTTTTTTTGAAACCAAATTAACCCAGAAAACATATTTCTGGTTTCTTTGATTGATTTCGCAAAATTTACCCCAAAAAAAAAATTTAAAATGAAACAAATTTTCTCATTTTGAATGCAAATCCTCATCATTCATTCATTTATTGTCATTGACAAGGAACTGAATACATTTCTCCTCTGTAACATCATTATCATCATCAACGAAATTAAGTATTCAAAGAGTTTTCCAAAGTTTTTTTGATTTCAAATTATCATCATCATCATCATCATCGTGTATCAAATGATATTTGAATTTAAAACAAGCAAACTTTAGCACGCTTTTTTCTTTTTGTTTTGTTGATTTATCAATGTTTTTTCTCCAAATTGATAATGGTCAAAATGATGATGATGATGGGTGGATTTTAAAAAGGATGGAAATATTTTCATTTGAAAACAAAGTGGTCATTTTTTTCCTTTTTTTTGAGGCCAATATTGAGATCAATGTACAATGTATGTGTGTGTTTGATTGATTCTTTTGCTAATCAATCGAAAAATGTAACGGTAATATTTGACAGCATACAATGTTGTCGTGATGTAATTGAATGACAATTTCATTGATATATGATATTTATGATGATGATAATGATGAAAATTGATGTGTTTTCTCTTCGTATATTTCTCCTTTGCAATTTTTTACGTTTTTTTACATATTTCTCATCTGTGTGTGTGTCCTGTGTCATTCATAATTTCCAACAACAAAACAAAAAATTGACTTGAATTTCCATTAACAAAAAAATAGGATTTTCTTTCGCAAACACTCAATATTTCAAGGTTTACTTTTGTTGTTGCTGTTTGCCTTAGTTGTTTGTTTGTTTTTTTCAAGATCATTACCAATTTTTTTTTAAATCCAAAAATTCTCGTGAATTGGTAAGTCTTCTTTTTTTTATCAAGAATTTTCAAACAAGAATTTGTTTGTTTGTTTGATTTATTTATTTGTCATTTGTTACTGTTGTTGTTGTTGTTGTTATCGTTTGGATGAGGTTATTACATTGTTACATTGTTATTATTAAGGGATTATCAAGAAATCCAGATTAAGTTTTTTTATTATTATTATCATTAATCTCATGTGATTATTTGGCCATTGTTGTTGTTGTTTTTCACGATAACTACCACCATGATTAGTTTGGATTATATTTTTGTTTTGTTATTTTTGGTTATTTTGCACATTTTTTTTAATAAGATGTTGTTTTTTGTTGTCATCTTGCTTGAATTATTTTCTGTCATTTTTTTCCAAAACCAAATTTGATCTTTGATCGGAATGTTTTGTTTTGTTTTGTTGTTTCACATCAAATTTTTCCCTCTCTCTTTGTTTCTCTTTTGTCTCTATTTTTATTAATCAACAGCATCATCTGATTAGAATGTTTGGTTATCGACCTTGTTGTTTGGTAGTTGACAATGGTGATAATTTTATCAAAAAAAAATTTGCTTTTTTTTTGATATCAAATTGATATAGTTCGATGACAATTTTCAATGTCATATTTTTTATTTTGGTTGATTACTTTCCCTCTTTTCTCACTAACCTTATGTACCTTATTATCAGTCATCACTATCGATGTTAATTCTAATTGAAGAATATCAATAAAACAAACAAACAAAATTATTGTTTTTTGAATGATGGGGTGGGAAAGATTTCTGATTAAATCAATGAAAGATTTTTAACGAAAAATCAGATGATTACATTTATTTACATTTGATTGTTTCAATATTGATTTGATTGAGAAATTCCAATTGAGAAAACAAAAAAGAAACACCTCAATTTTGTTTCAAATTCTTTATCGTTTAAATTCTATTTTGATTAAGTTTTTTTTGGCTGATTGAAAAACCAAATTGAAATTGCAATCCACCTGATGATTACACAAACAGGAACGATTAAAACCAAAAAACCAAAAGAAATGGATCGCAATAGAAAAACAATTTTCCACCAACAAAAACAACGTAGCAATCGAAAATAAAATGTTAAAGATTGAGAAACCAGCAAAAGAAGGAGAGAAAAACATTGATTTGATTTGATTAAAAAAGGATGGGGGAGGAATGTAAAGATGGGAAAGAAGAAAATTTTAGATTGCAAAATGAAAATAAAAAAAATTGAAAGAGTTTAATGACCGTATTCTATATAAAAACAGACAGACAGATAGAAACAGAAACCATAATGATGCTTATATATGATAATAAGTTAACAAAAAAAAAAACATAAATTATGTCACATTAAATAGCAAAAGAAAAGAAACAAAGTCATAAATTTACTGTGTTGAATACAATGTTTTCAATTGGATGATGATGATGGATGGTAATTAATTATCAATTGATATCTGGAAACAGCAAACAAAACAAAACAAACGAAAGGTTTGTGACACATAAAGTGTGTGTGAGAGAGGGGGGTAAAATAAAGCAAAAATAAGAGATTTTTTTTAACCAATTTACCAACCAATTGACCAATGATGAAATCTTAATCAATTTTCGGTGGATTTATTGCAATTGATTTCTAATTGGAATGTTTGTTTGTTTGGTTTTTTATTTGATTTATCTCAATCAGTTATTCTCTTTTTTTCACCATATTGTTGTTACTGTTGTCATTATCTCAATCATCAATGATTGAGTCATTATCATCATCATTCTGTTGTTGTTGTTGTTTTTTATGATCAAAAAATTATTTTTTTTCCTGATTTCCAAATAATAATTATGTTTCTCTAAAATTGTGTAAAGAATCCAGTAAGGTGTTTGTTTGTTTGTGTGTGTAATTTTGTTTGTTTGGAATCCTATATAAAATCCAAATGTTTTTGAGAAAATTTTTATCATAGCCGATGTTTATGGAATAAGAATTTTTCCATTGATCAATTCTGAATTTTAATTTTTGATTTCGTTTTTTTTCTCACCCTAAAAACAGAACAAATTTTCAACATTACCATCATCATCATCATTCAATAATAATTAACAAAATATGATAAAAGTGTTTGCTGTATAAAAATAATATCGTTCACCATCCAAAGCACTATAAATTACCAAAAACAGCAAGAAAATTTCTTATTATTTTAAAAAAATTATCTTTATTTTTATTTTATTATTATTTTACAAATCAAAATTATCATTCAAAATGATGAATCTTTTTGAATTAAAAGATGAAAAACTATTTTATATAGATCAGAATAATAATCATTTACAAAACGATTATAATCAAAATCATCATCCGCATCACCAGCATCAATATCGTTCAGTCGTAAATTCAGCTTACATTCAGCAGCAGCAACAACAGCATTATTTCAATCCAAATCAATTATCCAATAATCCAATGTCCGCATCATCACAATCATCATCAACATTGTTACAATCAAAAACATCGACATTACCATTATCATCATCATCATCATTATCATTAGTAGCAGCGGAAAAATTATATTCAAATCAATTATCATCGTTAGCATTCTATAATATGGATAATCATCGGAATCATCACCATAATCATCAACAACAGGAAAGAAAATCATCATCAATTTCAAATTCATTACAACAAAATATACAGGATCCAAATATATGTTTATTAAATTTTATACGACAGCAAACGGATTTACATTTTCAAAATTTACTTAAACGTTATGAAAATTATTTAGCTAATTCAATTGAATCATGTTTAAATTCTGTATTGACAATCGATCAAATTGTTGCTGCATCAACAGCTGCAGCAGCAGCTACTGCTGCCGTTTCAAACAATCAACAAAATGATGCTAATATTATATCATCATCATCATCATCGACAACAACAACAAAAACAATGCCATCAATAACTGGTCTATCATCTGGTCATAATAATAAAAATCATTCAACAACATTATCAAAATTAATTGAATCAAATTCAAATGATAATGTTATTCATAATTATAATAATAATCGTCAAAGCTTGTTGATGATGAATCAAGCTTTAAAACAATCAATAGATATGGTTGCTACATATAATTGGTCAAAATTGATGCAGCAACCACCACCACCACCATCATCCACATCATTATCACCAACCGAAACATCTTCATCATCATCATCATCATCATCATCATCGTCTTCAACGATTGTTGGAACATCGCCTACACCCACATCAACATCTTCATCATCATTTATAACAAAAATGTCATTATCAAATAATGATATTCAAAATAAAATAAATACCGATCTCAATACTATGGTTGATGATAATAATAATAATGATGATGATGATGATGATGATGTTGAAATAGTTGTCGTTGAAGAAGAAATCGATGATGATGATGATGATGATGATGATATTGATGATGGTATTGAATATGATGATGATAATGATAATCGTAATCAAACTGATCAAATTAACGATCTAAAAGATCAAAAATCATCAAAAACAACAACAACAACAACAACAATCAATAAAATTGATGTTGAAAAATTTCAATGTGATTGGCCTGGTTGTGTACGTTTATTTCAAACTGAACAAATTCTTAATCATCATCGTCGTTTTCATATACGTAAATCAAATTATCATTGTAAACATTGTAGTTTACGTTTATTAGATCGTCGTGAATTATTGGAACATGTTGTTAATTGTAAATCAACAACAACAACAACATTGGCTACTGATCAACATAAAGTCAAATCCAAACAAACACAGCCATTATCATCATCGTTAGAATCATCAACCGAATGTTCAAATAAAATTTTAAATCAAAATCATTTTAAATCTTCATCAATAGATGGCGTTAATATGTCCATAAAATCATTAAATTCATCATCAACAACAGGTATTTGATCAAAATTAATTTGTAATTTTTTAATTTTTTAATTTATTTAAATTTACAAATTTTAGGGTCATCATCATCATCATCATCATCATCATCATCATCATCATCATCACCAACAACATTGACAAAATCACCGACAACAGCGTTCGATATGGATAATCGTAAAATGTTAATCGATCAATTAATTTCACCAAGAATGACAAAAAATCGTGATCTTAAAAAAGCATTATTAGCAATTAAAACTGTTGATATGCCCATGACAATGGAAACATCGACATCGACAACAACAAATTTATCGATGAATAAAAATCGATTAAAAATTCCAACGGATTCATCACCGTCATCATTCGTATCATCATTATCACCTTCTTCTCAAACATCATCACCAGCAAATGATCAACAACAACAACAACAGTATAAACGAACAAGATATAGCGGTATTGGTCGTTATCGTTGTCCATGGCCAGATTGTTCATATACACCACATTTTCTTCGTGATTTACGTCGTCATATGTTTAAACATACTGGTGATAAACGTTATAAATGTTCACAATGTCGTTTTGTATCCGTATGGAAAACATCATTATTACAACATCAACGTAAAAAACATTCAATAACATTGACAAATGTATCGAATATTTCCTGTTCAACATTATCATCAACGTCATCATTAGATAAAAAATATTAACCAACGATTTTTTTTCAAAATCAAAAACAAATTCGACATCATTTGAGCTTATTTTGAGACATCTAAAAATCAAAAATCAAATTTTTTTTATTAAAACAATCAGAATCAAAATTCATCACTTGTCATTCACACACAAACACACACTATTCACTATTGAAAAATTCTTATTATTAGGCAATTTTTTTAATAAAATTTCAAATAATGTTTGCTCAGCAATCGAATGTTAACTATGATTTTGTTTCAATTCAATTTGAATTTTTTTCACAAATCATTTCAATACGTTTAGCTAATCGCTGTTTATCATTTTCAGCCATACGTATACGTTTACCAATTTCATTCATACGTTTGGTTAGATTTTCATCATTCAATAATCGTTGAATTGTGTCCAAAAATTCTTGTTCACTTGATTCGAATGGATTCAAACGTGCACCAAGGCCAACTTCAACAATACGTTGTGCATTATCAAATTGATCATCAAATGTTGGTAATATAAGCATTTTTTTACCAAAATAAAATGATTCAGTTACAGTATTATTACCACCATGTGTAATAACTAAATCAACTAATGGTAATATTGATTTTTGTGGTAAAAATTTATCACCCCACATATTATCCGGTAATTCATAATTCATTGGTCCTTTTGAAACAATAAAACGATTTGGTGATTTACTAAAAATACCGACCAATCGTTTCATTAGTTTCACATTTGAACAACCAAATGATCCCATTGAAAATAATATCAATTTTCCTGGTTTATCGCGAAGTGATTCAGGAATATCAAATTTTTGTTCAATAGTTTTCCGCATTAGATTATCGATACCGAAAAAATTATCCGATAATTCATTCCATTCATTGTAACGAAATTCCATTGGCCACATATAAATATTCAGATATGGTGATAATGGATGAAGACGATGATTATCCATAGGTTTCATACCTTTTTCCATTGAATATTGATTAATATCATTAATCAATGTAGAGAAGGCTTCATTAGTTCTTTGTTGAAATTCATGCCATTGTTTTCGATCACCATTCAATGGTAAACCAGAATAATATGGTGGAAAACGTGGATCCTGTATCATTGCTTGTGGTGCAGCCGAAAATAACCATATCCATGGTATACCGGAATTAGTAATAGCCGGACAATTTACATAACAATCACTAATAATTATATCGGGATGAATATCATCAATCGATTTACGATAAATATCTTCAACACTACGTTGTTGATCAAACATTGTACGAAATACTAATGGATTTAATTTTTCATTCTGTTCGATTGGTGATAATTCATAAAGTTTTGCATTTTTCGATAAAAACCATTGCCAAAATTCAACTTTTTCACCATCATCATTGGTTACCGATGGTTTAGGCATTCGATAATGATATTCTTTAAAACCAAATGGTTTTAAACGACCAGCAAATTCTTCATCAATCAAAAATATAACATCATGACCACGTTCCAGAAGTTTATCACAAAGTCCTTGACAAGCATTTATATGTCCAACAGCGTTCATAACAATAGCAAGAATTCGAAATTTTTGCTTTGATTCATTAGATTCAGCCATTTTTTTCACAAAAAGAAATTTTTTTCAACGATATTCACTAATGACATTGATGACCAAAGAGAAAAAATCATTTTTTTTTTTTGCTTTTTAAATAGATTTTCATTTTTTTACAAGGGTACAAATGACACAGTGATAACGCAACAAAAAGAAAAACATAAAAGGAAAAAAAGCGAACTAAATGAAATGATAATGATAATGGGAAAGGAAAAAATCGATAACCAATCAATCAATCAATTGATTGATTGGTTATGTCTAATACTGTTGATGATGATCGGATATACAACTTGTCAATTTGTCAACGAAAAAAAAAACTTTTCCAATGAAAGAAAAAAACTATCATCATCATCATCATCATCCTGATTTCTTTTTTATCATATCACTTTGATTTTTTTCCCTGCTTTTCATTTCAAATTGAATTCGAATGAATTGATTTCGTTTTAAAATCCGAATTCAGATTGGTTTTTGGTTTGAAAATTTTTTTCGAACGTTTTCGAATGTTGACTTCAAACGTGCATGCACAATGATGATTATTATTGCAATTCCGTTATCCAAGGGGTGGGTGTGACTTTTTGATGACTCAGTCAGTCAGTCGGTCGATTATGTTGAGAATATATATCGAATCCAAGTAGCAGTAATCAACATCATTATCCCATGCTGCTACGTTTTGCGAAAAAAATAACCGCTACCTTCTGTATGTGTGCATAATTTTTTTAAAATAAAAACCTAGTAGCATTGTTATTAGTTATGGCTGTTGTTGTTGTTGTTGTTGTTATTAGTCATCATTATTATCGAATGTAAAATATTCGAGCCGAGATTTTATTATTTTGAAGATTCTTTATTCATTTTTTTTTCTTCAAGATTTTATTTATCCTGATAGTATTTATTGATGAATTCCTGCTTTTTTTGGTTGTTTATTTATTTTCCAAAATTCTTGTAATTTTTATCAAGTGAAAATGACTTAGATAATAAAAATCAACTCCTTTTATCAAACGTACAATATAACGTGTTGGTCGTTTCGTTTCGTTGTGTATCCACATCGTTGTCAAATTCAAGTTTAATCATCTTTTTTATTATCTTATCATTAGATTTTTTTGTTTGTTTTTTTTTTGTTTGTTAAATTATTATTATTATTAGAATATTTAAAAAAAAATCTTAGAATAAATATTGCATTCCAAATGTTTTATTATAATAGCCGTCCGTTTTTTCTAGAAAATTTTCTTGTTGTTGTTGTTGTTTCTATTACTAATCGATTGATTATTGTTCCATCTAAACAATCTATTCTTAATGTTCAATACACAGAATGGCTTCAGATGCCATAGATTCAAAACAACAACAACAGACGCCATCAATTTCATCACCATCGATAGCCAATAATAATAATAATAATAATAATAATCAAAAATCATCATCACCATCATCGTCATCATTGTTGTCGTCTGCTGCTCCTGCTTCTACTGTAGCTAATACAAATAGCGGTAGTTGTAGTAATAATAATAATAATAATAATAATCATTCTAAACATCAAACATCAACATCATTAAATCATTCTGCCATTAATCGAAATCCAAACAATAAAATGATACCAGATCCGGCAACATTCGAAGAATTGACTACACAATTCCATACAATTCATGTAAATGATACACGTTTTGAGATTTTAAAACGTTATGAAAATCTTCGAATTGTTGGTTCCGGTGCACAAGGTGTTGTTTGGTAAGTTTTGTTTGTTTGTTTTTTGTCCACCTCAATCCGAACTAAATATCGTTTTTCTTTTTTCTTTTTTTGTTGTTGTTGAAATTCAACAGTAGTGCACATGATCGTCTTTTGGATCGTGAAGTTGCTATAAAAAAATTATCAAAACCATTCCAAAATGTAACACATGCTAAACGTGCATATCGTGAATTTAAAATTATGCAACTTGTTAATCATAAAAATATTATCGGTTTATTGGATGCATTTACACCACATAATACCCTTGAAGAATTTCAAGATGTCTATCTAGTTATGGAATTGATGGATGCAAATCTTTGTCAAGTAATCCAGATGGACATTGATCATGAAAGAATATCATATTTACTTTATCAATTATTATGCGGTATTAAACATTTACATTCGGCTGGAATTATACATCGAGATTTGAAACCATCAAATATTGTTGTCAAAACTGATTGTACATTAAAAATATTAGATTTTGGTCTGGCTCGTTCATCAAGTGGTCCACAAATGATGACACCATATGTTGTTACACGATATTATCGTGCACCAGAAGTTATACTTGGTATGGGTTATCAAGAAAATGTAGATATATGGTCAGTTGGTTGTATAATGGGTGAATTGATACGTGGCCGAGTATTATTTCCAGGTAGTGATCATATTGATCAATGGAATCGTATTGTTGAACAATTAGGTACACCAAATCAAGAATTCATATCAAGATTACAAGCAACAGTAAGAAATTATGTAGAAAATCGGCCTCGTTATCCAGGCTATTCATTTGAAACATTATTTCCAGATGTATTGTTTGCTAATAGACCATCACCACAATCTGATTTAAATGCACCTCAAGCAAGAGATTTATTATCAAAAATGTTGGTAGTTGATCCACAAGATCGTATATCGGTTGAAGGTGCACTTAATCATCCATACATACGTTTATGGCGTGATGAATCTGAAGTAAATGCACCAGCACCACGTGTTTATGATGATTCATTCGAACAACAAGAACGTTCTGTTGATCAATGGAAAGGTAAGTTTTTTTTTGATAAAAAAAATCAGATAAAAATAATGTTACTCAATTTTTTTTCTCATTAGAATTAATCTATGAAGAAGTCAAAACATATGAACAAAATCATAGGAATCAATTAAATCAATGGTTACGTAATCAATAAGTAGATTTCGTTTTCTTGGGAATCAGATTAATCCGAAAATTATGGAAAATAGCTGAAAATTATTTTTTCCCGATAATGCAATTGTAGAGAAATCATACAACAACAACACTACAGCTATTATTTATCCATCATAAACTATCTTCATAAATTTTTCACGAGATTATTGATTCAAACAACAAGAAAACAAGAACATCATTCATTTCAACAACAACAACAACAATTAATTAATTTTTTTCAAATTATTACATTTATTTTGATTTTAGTCATTTAAATTATCATTATTTTTTTCCTTTAAATCAACAATTCGTTATTGTTTTAATTATTTTTTTGCATCATTTTTTTGTTGTTGTTGAATCAATCCTTTTTACAAAGCACATACAGGCAAAAAAAATTGAAAAAAATAAAAGCTTTTTCCTGTTCAAATTTGTCAGTGAGAGATTTAAAATAAAATAAAAAATCCATTCCAATATTGAAATAGAAATATCAACAACAAAAAAAAAACAAGAAGGACGGAACAGAATAGTCATACCTGAAGAATTTAATGTTGTTGTTGTTGTGCAATTTTATAGCTAAAAGTTGCAATACTTACTTTTGTCAGTGACTTACACACACAATGATAATGATGATGATAATGATATAATGAGAATGAGTCATAAATTTTTACACAACAAAAACACACACACACAAGGTCATCTTCAATCCAGAAAAGCAATTTAAAAAAAAAACATCCGAAAGATAATGTACTTATGCATCATATTTAATTAATTAACATTTCTCTTTTCCGTTCATTTTGCTAATTAACAGAATTTTTTTTTCTTCATTTTTTTTTAAAATTCAAAAACAAAAACAAAAAACAGGACATGATTAAATGATTGATTGATGAGCTTATTATATGTCAACATTCAAAACAAAAAAAAACAACCAAACATAAAATTCCTATAGAAAAATTCAAATTTTCTTTTTTTGTTCTTTACTTTCACACTGAAAATGATATTATCTATCTAATAGAATTCATTAATTTTAAAACGAAATTCTTTAAAAAAACAAAATAAATTCATCCTCAATACCAAAAAACAAAACAACTAGTCAAACCTTAATCAAATAAAATCAACATATCCATTTTTGTTCATCATCATCATCATCATCGACATCAAATTTTATCAACAACAGTAAACAACAACAATCGATCGATCGATCGATATTTTGGTTGCTGTTGATAACAATATTATTATTTAGTTTAGAAAAATAAAAATCATTAAAAGTTGGAACCAAAAATAAAAAAAAAATTCTGATAATTATGAATATAAGATCAATAAATTCATCGTTTTTTATAAATAAAATCGAGCATTTTTTTCTGGTAAAAACATTTAAATATTTATCGATTACAATGAAAACAAAAAAAAAGTCAATGTATTAAATGATAATTTTTTTAAGATTTTCTTTTAAAAAAAAAACTATAGTTTGCGTCATAATTATTGTTTTATTCTTTTGGAATGACAAAAAAAAAATTTCATCACATTTTTATGGGAATCTTTGATTTTCATAAACAACCAAATGGAATAGAGCAAGTCCGAAATGGAAGATGATGATATTTTTTTTTTAATTCCCCTACAGAAACAGTGAAAATAAACAGTGAACATTATCCTATATGATCTATTGCAGTGATTCTCAACCTTTTTGTTGTCGCGGCACAATTTTAGAATTTTTAAATATATAACAGTTGCATTTTCAGAATTTCGCGGCACACCAAAGTGCCGCGGCACACTGGTTGAGAATCACTGATCTATTGTTTTATTGATCACCAAANTTTTTTTAAATAAATTCATCCTCAATACCAAAAACAAAACAACTAGTCAAACCTTAATCAAATAAAAACAAAGCATATCCATTTTTGTTCATCATCATCATCGACATCAAATTTTATCAACAACAGTAAACAACAACAATCGATCGATATTTTGTTGCTGTTGATAACAATATTATTATCTAGTTTAGACAAATAAAAATCATTAAAAGTTGGAACCAAAAATAAAAAAAAAAATTCTGATAATTATGAATATAAGATCAATAAATTCATCGTTTTTTTATAAATAAAATGGTTTTTTTTTATTATTTTGGTGAAAACATTTAAATATTTATCGATTACAATGATGACGAAAACAAAAAAGTCAATGTATTAAATGATCATTTTTTAAGATTTTCTCTCGAAAAAAACTATAGTATGCGTCATAATCATTGTTTTATTCTTTTTTTGGGAATGACAGAAAATTTTCATCACATATCTATGGGAATCTTTGATTTTCATAAACAACTAAATGGAAAATAGAGCAAGTCCAAAATGAAAGATGATGATATTTTTTTCCACATAAACAGTGAACATTATCCTATATGATCTATTGTTTTATTGATCACAAAAACTCCGATAATAATGATTTTATTTTTAAAACTTCTAGAATGAAAGTCATTTAGAAGAAAGAGAGAGAAACAAAATTTGAATTCATTCCAGAATCATCATTCATATTGAATGTAATCATCATTTGTTTTTGTTTTTGTTGTTGTTGTTGTTCAACAGATTCCATCTTTATCATCAGCCGACCAATCAATGATATAATTCTAAATAATAATGTCAAAAAAATTGAATAAAAATTGGAAAATTTTTCATTATATTGTACGACCAATAATGAAAAATTATTCAAATGATATAAAAATTATTGATATATTTAATAATGGTTTTGAATATCTTAAATATTTTACATTTCGTATTGATTGTAATTTGGATGATTATGAACAACATAATTTACGATTATATGATAAAAAAACATTAAAATTAATCATTAAAAAATCAATATTTTCATTTATGGTCATCTGTTATCCAATATTATTATTAATATTTAATAAAAATGATTATTTAATAAGTATTGAAATACTTGAACAAATGGTACGAACAAATAGTGTTGATCTATTATTATTAGAAATGATTATAATATTATTTTTAATGGAAATAATGTGGTTACATTTATTTTTGTCAATTTTTAATTATAAATCTTCGGATATGAATTTTCTTGTTAAATATCGAAATTATAATGATGATGAACAACAACAACAACAATTATCAATCGATTTACGAAAATATCTCATTAGATTCTATATATTAAGTGAATATATATTGATTATTATATACGATATATCAATGTTTGGATTATTCAATATGACTTTGATGCATACATATTTTTGTATTGAATATTATTTAAATGATCGTTTACGATTGATACCAATATTATTGGATATACCAATGTTTGCTATTACCTGTAATCAAATTTCCTATCTATTGGGACATTTATTTTTATCAATAAATTTTCAATTATTTATAATTGAATTTTTTAAATCACAATTAAAACAATTATTACAATTATCAAAATCATTATTATTATTATTTTATAAACAACAACGAAGACGACGACGAAATTATCTTGTTGAAGAATTATTTTGGAAAAATTTTCAAACAAAATATATAAAATTATTTTGTGAAACAAAACATTTCAATCAAACATTTAGTATTGTATTATTTTATTTAGAAATAATATCCAAATTATCTATTTTACTTGCAACAATATTTTTTAGTAAACAAAAACAAATGAGTCTTTATAATACAACCGCATTGATTAGTTTAATGTCATTATTTTGTTATACAACATTTTTATATGTACGTATATCGAATATACCAACATTCAATCATCAATGTTCAAAAATATTAACATATTTAATAATAAAACGATCAAAATTATTATATTATCCATATAGACAATATCAATGGAAACAAACAATTCATTATAATCTATTTATACAGACAATAATGAATAATCAATTTGGTTTTACATGTGGTCAATTATTTTTTATTAATAAATATAAATATATTGAAATATTAATGATAAATTTACCGATAATTTTATTATTTTATAGAAAAATTTGTTAATCAACAACAACAACAACAACAATCGATCAAATATATCAAGTTCATTATAATGAATTCTTCCCAACATTTTGTCAAAACATGTTTTGTCAACTGTGTACATTTTCAATCGATTATAATCGTTTTTTTAATTAAATTCAAAACTTGAATAATAAATATTTGTTTTTATTTTAATGATCTATTTTACTTTTTGTTATTAAATTGAATGTTTTGAAATATTGAAAAAATGTTTCTTGAATATTCAATTTATGAATTATTTTGTTCTTGGAAGTTGAATCACTTATTTTTCTTGTGTAGTTTTTTTCAATCAACAAAACAAAATGATTTTTCTTACTGAAAAATATCAAAATATTCAAATATCCAATATGATTGATTATGGATTTCGATATTGGAAAAATAAACAATTACGTTTAGAATATTCATTGTATGAATATCAACAAAAAATCATACCGAAACGATTAAATTTTTTTCGTCATTCAATATGGTTATCGTTCAATGGATGGATCGGGATATTTTATCTTTTAGCAATGATTATCAAACCAATGAACAATATTATTATTGGAAATGAACATTTCAAACAATTAGTTCATTGTCAACGAACTGATTTAATATTTTTATTTTCAGCCATTGCATTTATAGCACTTGAATTAATGTGGTTACATTTATTGAAAAAATTTCTAAATTATCATTCATCAATTGATGTTTATTTTATTAATAATATTGATTATAATGAAAAACAATTATTAGTAAAATTTCAAAAATATTTACAAAAATATTTCATCATTTCTGATCTAATTTCAAATCGAATACAAAAATTATTTACATTTATTCTTAAATCAATGTTAATAGTTCTTTTATATGGTGGTTATATATTCTATACTTTGAATCAAATTTATTTATATCAATTAATATTTACAATACCATTATTTATATCATATTGTCGTTATGCAATACATACTACTGAACATTTTATAACAATGAATTTTATAATATTTTTAATACAATTTCATAAAATACGTTTAAAACAATTAATGTTAGAATCGAAAACAATATTAAAACAAACTAGAATATTGATTATGAATGAAAAAATGAAAAAATTATTTTGGAATCGTTTTCATTTGGAATATGTTAATCTTTTTGCTGAAACATCATGTCTAAATCAAACAATTAGTTTAATATTATTCTATTTGGAAACAGTATCAAAATTGGCTATAATAATTGCTTGTGTATTTATTAGCCGTCAACAACAAATAAATTGGTATAATATTTTAGCAGCAATGACATTGATAAGTTTATTTATTCTAATGATTGGTATGAATTCACGTATTGCAATTCTACCAAAATTCAATGATAAATGTGGTCAATTTATTTTGAATGGTTTGGCACGTTCACAATGGGAACGTTTTCGTTCCAATGATAATCAAAATTCATTGAAAAATTGTTTATTATGGAGACATTGGATTAAATCAAATCTTTTCGTACAAACAATGACCGAAAATCAATTTGGTTTCTGGTGTGGACAATTATTTTTCATTACAAAATTTAAATGTCTTGAAATGTTAATGTTAAATATACCATTAATATTAATGTTTTATAAGAAAATTTGTTTAAATACATAGTTTTTTCCCTTTAATAAACATTTAAATTTTTATGAATAAAATTTCAAAAGAAAAAAAAATCAAAACCTTTATGGAATTATATATCGATTTCATTAGGATTCTGTGTAAACAAGCAAAAGATGGTTTTGGTGATTACAATGTTTTTGTTTGCTTTTGACAATTTAATTATCATGTGAGGTTTTTTGTTTTTTTGGTTCAAAATATATTTACTCATCGCATGTTGAATATATTGATCGATTCAAAATATATGAGCAAAAAAAAAAAAAATATTTGTTTTGAAGAGAAAAAAAATCAATTTCATCACATTACATTTTATTTCATTAAAATGTTTATGAAATTTTGAAAATAACAACAACAACCAACAACAAAAACAAATGTAACTCTGATATTTGATTATTGTTTGATAATTGAAATAATTCCATGTTTTTTTTGGACCTGAAAAAAACATTTCCGATTTCAATTCGATTCTGATTCTGTTTGTGATTGGAAGTTTTGTTTTTCGGTTATCGAAAGAAGAAAAAAAACAATAAACTTCAACAAAATGATGACAGTATTAAATTATCGAAAATATCGTAATCTTCAAATTTCCGATATGATTGATTGTGGTTTTCGATATTGGAAAACTAATACATTATGTTTAAATTATTCATTGGATGAATATCAACAACGAATCCTAAAGAAAAATTTTCAATTTTTTCATAATAAAATATTTACATCATTAAATGCATGGATTACAATCGGTTATTTGCTGGCAATGATTTGTAAATCCCTAAATAAAAATATTATCATTGGAAATGAATATTTTAAACAAATGATCGATTGTGAACGTAGTGATTTATTATTTTTATTTGCAGCAATCGCATATACAATTCTTGAATTAATGTGGTTACATTTGTTTAAAAATTTTATCAATTATCATTCATCAATGGATTATTATTTTATTAATAATATTGATTATAATGAAAAACAATTATTATTTATAATGAGACAATATTTACAAAAATTTTTCATTATTTCTGATCAAATGGCTAATATATTATGTCGATTCGTAACCTATCTAATGATAAATGTATTTATATTTTATACATTTTTCAGTTGCAAATTTTATCTGGAAAATAAAGTAAATTTATTTCAATTATTATTCAGTATACCATTATTTATAATATTTTATCGTAATACAAAACATTGTGCAGCAAATTTTATGATAATGAGTTTTATATTATTTTTGGTCGAATTTCATAAAGTACGATTAAAACAATTAATGTTAGAATCAAAAAAATCATTAAAACAATCATCAAAATCAATGAATTTGAATGAAAATTTAAGAAAAATATTTTGGAATCGTTTTCAATATAAATATGTTAATCTTTATGCTGAAACAGCATGTATAAATCATACTGTTAGTATTGTATTGTTCTATATGGAAATGTTATCAAAATTTGCAATCGTAATTTCCTGTATATTTTTAAGTCGACAATATCGATTGAATTGGTTTAGTGCAGCATCATTAATGGCTATAATGGGAATATTTTTCCTTATGGTTGGCATGAATTTACGTATTGCAATTCTACCAAAATATGATGATAAATGTGGTCAATTTATACTTTATGGTTTGGCACGTTCACAATGGAAACGTTTTCGTTCAATCGATTATAAATCAATAAAAAAATGTTTATTATGGAGACATTGGATTAAATCAAATCTTTTTGTACAAACAATGACTGAAAATCAATTTGGTTTTTCATGCGGTCAATTATTTTTCATAAAAAAATTTAAATATTTTGAAATGTTAATGTTAAATTTACCATTAATATTAATGTTTTATAAGAAAATTTGTTTAAATGGTATGTTTTAAACAAATGTTTTACCCAAAAATAAATCCATTACAGAATATTCTTATGAAAAAACCCATATTTTGTTCCATCCAAAAGAAAAATCATTATTCTGTATGACGTAAGATTCTTTCTGGCAAATAAATTGGTCAATTACAAAAATATTATCCTACTTATTTTCCAAGAATTTCAATTTTACAAAACAAAATTTTGTTCAAAAATAAATATATACTAATTGATCGAAAAATCGTTGTTTTTTTCATTCATTCGTAGTGCACTTAGTTTTGTTTTGTGGTAAACAAAACAATTACAAGTTTCAAGTCTTTTTTTTGACTAAAAATTTCTAGGCCTCATTTATATAATTCACGAGATTCACAGAATCCATGACTACCAAGAATGAATTTTTCGGAAGAAAATTTTATTTTCGTTCCGGTCGAATAATTGAAATTGTTGTGAAAGTTTTTTTTATGGGAATTATTTTTTTGTTTTGATGAACAAAAGTGGAAAACGAAATTTTCATTTACAAATTCATCATCATCATGTTAACATCAACCGAATGGAAAATATTAAAAACAATTGAATCAACCAATGATGGAACGATTCATATTGCAAATATATTTGAACGTGGTTTTCAATATTGGAAAATATTTTCATTTCGTTTTGAATATTCATTGAATGATTATCGTTATGAACAAATCAATATTAAATATTCAAATATTAAACGTACAATTTTATTAATAATTCAAGCATGGTTGGCAATAATATCACAATCAATATTAATAATTTGTTCAAATAGTCCATATTTGATTGATTTTAAATATATTAATGAAATTTTAGATGTACAACGTCTTGATTATGTACTAATTCAAACAATTATTATGTTCATATTGCTTGAATATATGTGGTTTGAAATGTTCAAAAAAATTATCAATTATCATTCATATTTTACAAATTTTTTATTATTAAATTCAACATTTAATGAACAACAACAAATTCAACAAAAATATCGACAATATTTGATTGATTTTTTTAGAAAAACTAATCAAATTGCTATTTATTCATGTAAAATATCATTATTTAGTTTAATAAATATGGCAATTGCTTGTATTTATTTTGCCTGTTATCTTTATTTGATCGGTAAAATTGATCAAATTCAATTAATTATTACAATACCAATATATTTGATTTATGTACGTCATATTATATTCATATTATGTCAATTATTTGTATCGATAAATTTTCTGGTATTTTTAATCGAATATCTTATCATTAGATTTCGACAATTATGTCAATTATCAAAAGAATTAGAAATACGAAACAGAATATTTTTTTGGAAACAATTTCATTATAAATATATAAAATTATATCATGAAACATATCAATTAAATGGTACGGTACAAACAGTTTTATTTATTATTGGTATTATATCCAAATCAGCAGCAATTATAGCATTAATATTTTATAGCCGTCAAGAAAAAATTGGTATACATAATACATTGGCTATTATTAATTTAGCATTCATATCAATTTATTCAAATATTTTATTTATACGTGTATCAAGAATGCCTACATTAAATCAACAATGTACAAAATCATTAACGAAATGGTTGGCAAGAAAACAATTTTGTTTGAATGAAATTCCATTCAAATTTAAACGTTTATTATTATGGCAACAGATTATTAAAAAAAATTTATTCATTGAAACAATGATTGAAAATGGTTTTGGTTTTACTTGTGGACAAATATTTCTTGTTACAAAATATGAATTTGTTAAATTAATATTAATGGATATACCATTTTTTACATTATTTTATAAAAAAATTTGTATGAAATAAAATGAATTACTTTAGTAAAATGACTAATTTTTTTTTGGCTAATTAAAATCTTTGAATATTAAAATTTAACCCCTTTTTACTTAAGATCATTTCGTTAAAATGATGTTTATTTTTAGTCCATGGAAGAAAAAGTCATATTTCATTTAGCTATTGTCAGTATACTCACCAGGTCGCAGCAGCACATCATCAATTACCCAAAAAATGATGATGTTTTATTTCAAAAAACGTAAGATTCATTTCTCATATCCAGTCTGGGTAATGAACAAAAATTTATTTGATTTATAATAATTATGGTAGAAATCATTTTATCAGCTGCAAAAAATCAACATAAAAGCATAATTGACTATAATAAATCATTTTGCTATAAAACCAATTTTACCCAAAGAAACCAAAAAAAAGAAAATCCAATTCAAACAAATTAGGATATGGCTAGTTTTGGAAGCAATATTTTAAATCAACAACAACAACAACAACAACATTGACAAAAGTCAATCAGTTTCAGCTTTTTTGGTTCAAGTGTTGAAAATTGATTGAAAATAACCTATTTTTTATATATAATCATCATCATCATCGAATGTACCACACACGCAACAGATTAATCCTAAATCAGTATCATCTGGATAATAAACAACAACAACTTTTTCTTTGCTCAATAAGATCAACCGATCAATCAATCAATCATTTTTAAAGAAAAAAAATTCAGTATTCGAAATACCAAAAAAGAATCTTCAAACCAGAAAAAAACCAATTTCTTTTTCTGTTTCGATCATTGCATGATCATGATCCTCCTCCTCATCATCGATTTACCGGTCAATTTGATTCATAATCATAATCATCATCAACAGGTGTCGAATTAAATCCAAACGAAAGGCTAAGTATATTTTTGTTTTGTTTTGTTTTTTGCAGCATTTGTAATCATCATCATTGAAAATTCAATTCAAACAAATTCCTAATTCGTATGTTATGTGTGAAACAATTGATTATGATGATGATCGACTACGACGACGATCATCGTAATCATCAAGAGAAAATAGCGAGAAGAAAAAAAACTAATTACATTCTTAATGAAAAAAAAGAAAAATGATTCTTGAAGAAATGAAATGAAATTTACTTTGTTATCGGGTGGTATTTGTTCGGTCGATCGGTCGGGAAAAAAGCATGACCTTTCGAAAAATATCAATGTATATTCGTAAACAACAACATCCGCCTGAAACAGAATACCGATTTTTTTTTAAAAAAAAAGTCATCAACAACAACAAAGTAGTAATTCGAATCAACCGATTTTTTTTTTTGATCACGAATTCGACACTTTTGAAACTTGATTTCTTTTCTTTAGTGTGAGGTTCTTTTGTCTTTTTTGTTGTTGTTGTTCGATATCATCATTATTATTTGCTGTTATCATCATGATGATCATCATCATCATCGTGAAAAACGATACAAGAATTCTTTCTTTCTTCTGTTGAAGATCTGTTTATTTTCAATGTCTACAATGTTGATGATGATGATGATGATAATGGTAGCCAGTATGTTATCAGTACATAATGATGGTTTGATACAGAAAACAGAAATTGATCTTGTTGTAATGAATCATTGAATGAATGAACGGAACAGGAAGATTTCATATTGAGAAAAAAAAAATAAAACTTAATTAACAAAAAAACAATGAGAAATTTGATAATGTTTTGTTGTTGTTTAATAACATTTGACACGAAAAGGAAATAGTCGAAATATCAAATTACATCAAATATATTTTCTTGAATGATAAAAATATTGCCATAAGAAGAGAAACGAGAAACTTATTGACGCTATCTTTGCATCTTAATCACTATCATCACCATTGTCGTTGTTGTTACCCGGAATAGAAGCAGCTTTTTTTTGTTCTTCATTTCTATTTAAGGTTCTTAGTTTTGAAGAGAAAAAAATTTAAATCCAATTTCATTTTTGCATTACGAAACTGGAAAAATGAAATGAAATAAAATGTCATTATCATTATCGTCATTGAATTTGATTCTTTTCTTCTTTCTTCGTTTCAAATATTTTAAGCATCAAGAAAAAAAATTATTTCAGGTTTACCTGTGATAAGCAAGTCAAATAATAAAATGTGTGAACAGAGGAAAAAGAATTAATCAGGATTAAGAAGAAGAAGAAGAAGAAGACGAATTTCTTCTTATTCGATAAGATTAAAATTTACAATGAAAGATTATTATTATTTCGTCATTCATTCATTCATTCATTCATTCACCTTTTAAAATCCGGATAAAAGTAATTATGATGATGATGATGATGATGATGATAGAAATCAACCAAAATTTCGAAGTAATGGTCATGAAAGTTTTGAATAAATAAATGAAAATTTTCATTGTCTAATTCATTATAATCTTATCAAACGATTCCAAAATGAATGAATGAATGAATGAATGAGAGGATGGCAAATAATTTCTAATAACCATAGGATGATGATTATTATTATCCACCGTCATCATCATCATCATCATTGTTGATTGATTCTGGATTCCAGCAACGAAGTTTGAACAATTTATTGTTGAAACGAAAAAAAATTGGCCAAAAATTTTGAATGAAAAAACCAGTTATTTGACTGTTTTGTTTGTTTGAAAAAAAAATATTTAAGCCATAATAACAATGGGGTGAAAAGATTTTCTTATAACGATTAGTTCGTCATTTTTTTTTTGATTCTCAGTCAAGAAAAAATGAATTTTGTTGCCATATATTTTTGTTTGATTGTCCTTTAAATATATACATTCGATTCATTCATGAGGTGGTCCAGATTATAATGATGATAACTGGAAAATAACAAAATGAAGAAAAGAAAAATGAATGCCAATCTTGACAAGGGTTGAAAAACTTACATTTTTTTTGTTGAATTTCTTCTTTGATTGTGGTTAAGATCATAGAAATCTAAACGATTTTTATGAATGATTATCATCAGATTGTTTGAATTGTATTTATACGTGACCTTTTTTTTCTTCATTTGATTCGATTCAACAACAAAAATATTGGCCAATCGTTTTTATTTGAACAATGATGATGATGATGGCCGAACAAAAAAAAAATCAGTTTTTTCCGATGATGATGATTGGTTTATGTAGCATCCAAAAAGGATGATTTGCTTTTATCATATATTCATATTTGAAAAAAATGATGATGATAATAATAATAATAATGATAAAACGAATCGATTTTTCTTTTTGAATTATTAAATCCGATCATAATTATCATCATTTCGGAAATTCGAATCATCATCATCAAAAAAGAAAAATTCTCATGACGTTTATGTTTACCTTTTTTTTGTACTGTACACAGATAACGTTCATTCGGGTTCCGAGAAAAAAGAAAATGATTTCAATTTAATCGATCAATTTTTCTCAATCAATTTCTGTTGATTGTCAGAATAAACAAACTTGATGGATCAAATTATTGATAAATGAATGACACATCCAGATGTTGAGATCATTTCAATTTGGTTTGATTATCTATGATTGTTTACGGTGGTGGTGGTGGTGGTGGTCATTCGATCAATCTGGTTTTTTGGGCATTATTATTATTATTATCGTTGATATCATTATATCCCGGTGGTTAATTGACCTAGATTAAATTTGTTTTCATCATCATCATCATCATCGAATAAATTGAATGAATCGAGAGAGGGAAAAAATTGTCGTGAAATTTGTGGGTTTTTGATTTTCCGAATTACTTTATTTTCGTTATTGTTATCATCTTCTGCCAAAAAGAATCTAAAAAAAAAACATTTTCATCCATTTCTAATTTTACAAATTTGTTTCGGTTGATCAAAATCAATTAGAATCATCAGCGTGTTTCGAATTGAAAATCATTCATCATTCGATTATTTACATCAGGTATAATATCAGGTATATAAAACCAGTTCAAATATTTTCTGGATGATGTTATGTTAGCTACTGGAATGAAAAATGATGATGATGATGATAATCAAACGATGATGATGATGATGATAATGTTGATCATTAATTCATTTCAAAAACATCATAAACGTATAAAGATGCATTACAATTAATTAATTGATTTTTCCTTTTATATAAGATGTGATATTTGATTAATGTCATCATCATTTGACATTATTAATGTTTAGCATTTAAAAATTAATTAATTTAAATTGAATTTAAGTAGTAGTGTTCATTTCGTAATCATTTTAAGAAGAAAAAGATCCCGATATTGCGATATAACGATAATGTTGACGGTAATAAAAAAAAAAAAACAAATTGATTCGAATCCTGAAAAAATTTCCCATTCGAATTTTTTCCGTTCTTTCCAGAAAACTTTTTTTTTGCTTGAAAACCACATTGATTATGAATTGAATAAATTTTTTTTCTGTGGTCAAAGATGATTGATAATTTGTTGGTCATCCAGTTATCGTCGATTATGTTCATCATGATGATAAGACCTGAATAAATGAATGTGAAAAAAACCGAAACCTGTCGATTATAATAGAATTTCATTTTGTTCAATTCAACAATCATCAAAATACTTTGAACATTTTAACACCCTTGTTGTTGTTGTTATTGCCAAGATTCAAGTTCTGACCAATTTGATGATTGATAATGAATAGCTTCGAAGTTTCGAAGAAGAAAAAAAACGACTAAACATCGATAATGGATGAATTTTTTATTTTCGTTGTTGATGATTATTTTCCTTATTCACCACCATCACCAATAGAAACAAGATTATCATTTTTGTTATCAGTTAAAGTTGTTTTTTTTCTCATACATACAACAAGAGTGTATTACATAAGTATGTTTGTTTCGAAATGATTTCATTTTAAAAACCCAAAACACACATACAAACCGAGAGAGAGAGAAAGACAAGAACAACATGTAATTATCATCATGTTTGAGAACAAGCCGATGATGATGATGATGGCCATTGACGCTGAATAAATTTGTTTTTGTTTTTCACTGGGTTTCCTTCTTTTTTTCGATAAATAACTTGTTGAAAAGTACTGATTATTATCATTATCATCGTGGGTTGTGAACAGCAGAAAAAAAATTTACCCGGAATTTGTTTCTGGTGAAAAAAACATGATTTAAAACGATTGATTCGATTCTATTTTCACCCAAATTGATCCATGGGAATCGAATCAGATTTGTTTTGTTTTGTTTTCTTTTTGCCAACTCTTCCCACATTTTCCCACTCAATCAGTTTATCAATTCGAATCAAAATTGATATTTTTTTTCTTCTTCAAAAGTAAATATTTCGTTTTTTTTCCTTCGTTATTTTATCCACATAAAGGTGTGAATCGAATTGCAAGAAATTTTCGAAAAGATTGAATCAATATAACAAATGTATGTGAGGAAAATTTTTTGGGCAAAGAACCAGGTAAGTAAATGATGATAAAATCCAAGTCATCCCTTGTTTGATACCAAGATAATGATGATGATGATAAATTTTTTTATCTCTCTTTTCTTTTTCTATTCAATATTTATGACCTGCTTTTTTCAACCCGTTCATCATCATCATTTTGGCCTTTTTTTTCCTTCATTAAATTCGCCAAAAAACAAAAACGTCATTGCCAATTTCATTGCATAAATGATGATGATGAAGATGGCAAAGAAAAATATCACATAAATAAAGATATTTCTGGTAAGGATTTTGTCCAATTTTCTTTCTTTCTTTTTGGATCGTCTTGCATGATATTTGTTGTTAATGATTATGTTTGTTTGTTTGTTTTGTTAGTTGAATACCCTACCCTGTTTTTTTTGGTCGTCATTTCAGATTCCAATTGCCAAAAGGTAATGGTAAAAATGATGATAATGATGATAAAAATCTTCGAAAGATACAATCATCAGGTAGAAATAGAAGAAAAAATAAACGGAAGCCAAAATGTTTAATTAATAGGTGCTAATAGTTTTTCCTTGTTTTTTTTTCACCACCACCATTATTATTATGAAAAAAATCTTGATTTTCAAGTTAAAATTCAGCTTGATTATTCTAAATATAACCAGTAGCTGAATTAATTGTTTTTCCCCCATATTTTTTTCTGAATGTAAATCATAATAATAGAAAAAAAAGAAATCATTTCAAATGATGCCAAACCGATTGTTGATGATTATATTGTTTTCAACAAATAAAGCTTGTCGCCCACACTTTATCATCATCATCATCAGCAATCAGAATGTTTTCAATGTTTCAATTTTTCTTTCAATGATTCAATTGTATTTGTATATTGAGTTTTAATATTCAAAAGATGTTGTTGTTTGTTGTCTGTTTTTCGGATTTTAATTCAATTTTGTTTCCGGTTTTCAAGCAACAACAACAACAACAACATGATTCTATCGCTCATCAGGTGATGATGATGATAAAAAACAAATTTCATAATTCATTATCATAACAATTGATCATCCTCAACCATCATCATCATTATTAAACAAAGGCTGTATATTCTTATTTGCATAAATGCATAGTCATTGTGTTGAATTCTTTGCGGGAGAGAGGGAGAGAGAAACATGATGACAGTGAAACAAAATGATGATGATCATCGTGATTATCATACCAAAATTCTCATTATCAAATGAGATACGTTAATTTACCATAGGTTACCATCTGCTTGATTGGAATTAATCAACAAACAACAACAACTACAAAACATTTTAGCATCTAAACATCTGACATGATTTTTTTTTGTTTCTTTCATTAATAACCAAATTAAAATTCTGTTGTTGTTGTTGTTAACGTTTTCATATACGAAACAAACAAACAAACAGAAAAATGATGAATATTTACACACTTGTTGAATACATTTGTTGCTGTAATCGATTATAGCTATTAGCAATCATCATCATCTGTCATTCAGTAAAAACAAATTGATTTTGGGTAAATATTGACAAAAGAAGAAAATTCACGAAAAAATAATGTTCAGAGGCTTGTCCTGTGCAAATATATTTTTTCATCATAAAGATTCTTGTGCCGAAGAAATTTGTTTTTTTTCGATGTTTGTATAACATTTAAATACTTTTGTAAAAAAAATCACAGAGAAAAAAAAGCCATAAAGGCGCCAATTTTAATTGCTAAAAATCAAAAACTTTTTATTATACCCTTGAATTTGTTACCGTTCATTAGATATGAAAAAAGGTGAGGTTCTCTAAACATCGTTTCTGATTGAAATCGATGATTTGCAAGTCAAGCCAAGCAAAAAAAAACCCGAAAAAGAAAATCCAAAGTAATCCAGAATAGGTTATTTTTTTAAACTTGAAAATAAAAATTGACCGGTAATCAAGAATTTTCAAAAAAGTGGTCAAGTTTTTTCTCTGTTTCTTCAAGTGCATGACCGTTGTATTTTGTTTTTCGTTTTGTTTTTCAATTTACTTATGATAATCATTTATTTCGTTTTGTTTTTTGTTTTTTTTTTCGTATGGAAAATCATCATTCGTAAACGTGATTCATGATGTTTTTATTCGTTTTTCTCCTTCTTCTTCGTTGGAACCCAAATATTTATTCGGTTTGATTTTTCTGATTTTTGTTTTCAACAGACAAGGTTCATCGTCGAGGTTGATGCATCGTTTATTTATTTATTTACTTTTTTTTCTTCTAATTTCGAAAGACGAATCAAATCAGAAAAAAATTGAACGTAAAATTTACGAGATGAACTTTTTTTTGGCAATCACTGTTTGAACGACTAATCTTGAAACCGGTCTCTCTCTCTCTCTCTCTCTCTCTCTCTCTCTCTTCGATGATAATGATGATCGACATTAGCATCCCATAAATAAAAAAAAATTCAGCAAAATTGTGAGAGAAGTCTTGCCGCGCAAGTTGCTGTTCGTATACCGAAGAAGAAGAAGAAGAATCAGATCCAAATACATTAGAATTGTGCATGCTGTTTGTCTCTTCTTTCTCTCTCTCTCTCGCGCTTTCCCTTGGCTTTGCTGTTTTTTTTTCTCTCGTCGATCTTCATCATGATGTTTGATGATGATAACGTCCATATTAGTGATCATTCGATTCGAAAATCATCATCAACAACATTAACATTGACGACAACAACAACAGTCATCATTATCTTCATCATCATCATCGTAGTTTGATATCGAAATTTTAGCTAGTTTTTTTTTATATTTATATTTTCATTTCAACGAAACAACGGTGGTGTGGTGTGTTTTTCATCTATCCAATTTCGTTGTTGTTGTTGTTGTCGATGATCAAGTTGTTTTTGTGAATTTTTGTCAAAAGAAATTCCAACCAAATGTTGCTTGTTGTGTTTTTGTTTTTCACCTGAAAAAAATATCTAGATTTTATTGAATTTTCAACAGAAAAAAAAATAAATCTTTGAATCTTGAAGGTTGAATAATTTCTTTTTCTTCAGCAAAAATGCTTCAAATTTGTTTGTAGGTGTGTGTGTGTTGTGTGTGTATTTAAGTATTTTACAAAACAACAACAACAACCTTTATCTAGAAAAATTCATTTCCATAAATCATCAACAACATTGAGAAATGAGTAAAAATCGATTCAAATCAAACATTTTGAAATAATAAAAAAAAACATTGAATTTTTTTATTTACTCAGTTCGTATTTCTCTCTCTCTCTCCTTTGTGAATATTTATTGCTCATTCGTTTCATTCATTGACTTAATCTATTTTAAATGTTTTGCCAATATTTTCAACAACAACAACAACGATAATAATCCACAATTCGCCATCATAATCATCTAATAAATCTTGTCAAAAAATCAAGTACGTTAAACGAAACAACAACAAAAATGTTTGGACATCGAACAATCGGACAATTATCATTATCATCATCATTATTCATAGCCAACATAATCATTATATTAATATTTCTTGTACCAAGATTATTTGGTCATCATGTAAGTTTTTTGTTTGTTTGTTTGATATTTTTGATTTATGTCAGGGGAAAAAAATAAATATTTTCGTAAATTTTTCTTCTCTTTCTTCAAAAATTTATGATTAATAACTTGAATTTCATAAAAATTAATCGCTCATCTTACCTGGATTTTTTCGAGAGAAAAACATCAACAACAACAACAACATTTAATCAAAGTCCATTGATCCGATGATGATTAGATCAGTTTGATAAATAACTTTGCCCAAAAAATATTTGCTACCAAAATTAGCTAAGAAAAAATCTTTTTTCTTAGTTTTTTTTTCTTTTTGGATCAAACATGATTCTTGATAATGATCTTGATAATGATGATGATGATGATCATCATCATCATTATATGCTATCATCGAATAATAATGGTCACGAATATCATTATGACAAGAAGAAGAAGAAGAAAAACAAAATTTTTACCTGTTCTTTGACCAAAAACTTGTTACCCAAAGAGAAAAATTTTGTTTAGTGTTTAGGATGAAATTTAATATGCAATCCTGAATATGATTATGTGTGAGCAGAAATTTTCAAATTCTTGATAGTTTTTCCTACATTTTTTTTCGGACTTAGGTGCAATCAATAATAATTAATCATCGATAAAATTATTGCTTTTTGATTTCTAATCAAATTATTCAATTCATAAAAATTGACCTTTTTTTCGCTAGGTTTTTTGTTTACCTTTTTTCCAATCAACACCAACAAAAAAAAAATCCTTGAAAATCAATTTTTCTTATCTCTATGCTCTTTATCTAAAAAAACTGACAACAACAGCAACAAAAAATTCACATGAAAAGTTTGGCATTTTCGTGTGTTTTTTCCTTTTTTTGCTGCTATGCATCGATCAATGAATCTTTGTATCCGATCATTATATGTGACCGATATGTTTGTTCGTTCGTGTGTGTGTGTGTGTGTGTGTGTGTTTGTATGATCAAAAACAAACGGTCAAATCAAACGGATAAATCAATTAAACCTTGCAAAAACTTGTTTTTTACACATTTTTTTTTCATTTCGAAATTCTTGCCCGGATAAATAATTTTGCATTTAATTGATTTTTTTTTTCTTTTTCACTCGATTACCAATGATAATGATGAATTTTTTGTTTTTTTCTTTTTCCCGTATAAAACAAACCAAACAAAGGTTGTCACACAAATATCATTATATTATGAAACATTATGTCCGGATTCAAGAAATTTTTTCCGTAATCAATTATATCCAACATATGAAAAATTAAATCGTTATATGGATGTTGAATTAGTGCCATTTGGTAATGCTAATGTTAGTTATCCTCGACATGATAATAAACCAGTATTTCGTTGTCAACATGGACCAAAAGAATGTTATGGTAATCGTGTACAATCATGTACAATTGAAATGTTAAAAAATACTGATCTTTCAATAAGATTTGTACATTGTATGTTTGATCAAAAAGATTGGTTAGAAACATCACAAACATCACGTCGGGTATGTTATTATCATATTGAGGGGGTGGGTTTCTTTGTTTGATTTTTTTAAAATTTTTCTTTTGTTTTTTGTTTTTTTCAAACTAAAATAGTGTGCCGAACAAATGCAATTAGATTGGCCAAAAATATCATCATGTGCTGATGGTAGTGAAGGTGAACGTTTATTAATTGCAAATTCATTAAAAACATTCAATCTAAATCCTGAACATACATATGTACCATGGATTGTTATTGATAAAAATCATACTGCACAAATGCAAACAAATGCTGAAACTAATCTATTAGGATATCTTTGTGAACATAATTTCAATCATGTAAGTTTATTTGGCGATTTATTTCTCCCGTCAAATCGACCTAAAATGAAAAAATTTCAATTTCAAATGAAAATATTAAACATTTTCTTCTCACCTCTTGTTCTCCTTGTTTTTTTCAAAAAAAATATGAATTCAATTTGACCTCATTTATGACCTATCATTTTATCTATGAAAAATTTTCTTTATTTCCATGATTTTGACATTATTGATAATTTTATTCGATTATTTCATTTTCCGTTTTCTAATAATTTTCAGGAACCACAAATTGATCAATGTTCAAAAGAAGCAATCAGTCTAAGTCAACATTTACATAATAATTCAATCAAGCCTAAAGCAACTTTAACTATTATATCGATCATGACCGCAACAACTATCATATTAATGTCATTGATTTTTGGATAGACAATCAACAAACAAACGAAAATTTCCATTTGAATAATAATAACCATTTTGTTTCCCGGTAAAATGAATCAGGAAACTTCAACAAAAAAAAAAGTGAAAATTTTCTCAATTCTTTTGAATTTTATCGTCATCGTCGTCGTCGAAGACTGTGCTGTGCTGCCCGTGGTAACAAAAATTTCCTATGAATTTCTTCCACTGTAAATATTCATTTATATAGAGAATTATTATTGAATTTTTTAAAAAATATATTTTAAACTACAGACTTTAAAAAAAAATATTATTACACACGAATTTCATAAGCAAAAAGTAGTTATATTTTTTTTTTACTGTAAACACACGAAAATACAGAATACAGAATTACGTAATAATAATGATGATTGTTGTTGTTGTAAATTTTTTTTTCTCACCCAGAATTTGGCCAATTTAATTACTAAAAATTTTTTTACTTTAAATAAATAATTTTATGGATAACGGATGTGTGTTTATTTTTTTGTGGTTGAATAGAGTTTTGATTTATTGGATGCTGATGTTGGTGGAAACTTTTTTTTCTATTTCAATCGATTATCGTCATCAAACCGAAAATAGAATCCAGATTTTTCATTTTTCGGTGAAAAGAAATTGATTGAATAATTGAAATGTTTCTCAAATCTAAACCACTGTTGTAATTTCATTTGATTTTTTTTATGATGGCCATAACATCACCGGTAATGGATGAAATTTCGGGTCGATGTTTTTAATTGAATTCCTTTTTATATAATCATTCGATCATGTGCAACATCAACGGATTTCTTCGGTTGTATTCGAGGTTTTTCTGGGATACTACAAGAAAAAAATGCTGCTAATAAATTTTGGATGACATCAAATTTAATTTTTTTATTTTTTCGTTTGCCAGAAGATGTTATAAAATGTTGATGAATCCAAATAAAAATGATCATAACATTTCAATTTGTGTCATCATCGTCGTCGTCGTCGTTGTCCTCGTTTGTTAATCATAAATATTTCACAATTGTTGTCATAATAAATGGATCGTTATTTCAATCGAATTTTTTTCAATTTGTGATTTGGAAAAAAAAACACATCAACGAAACAAACAAAACAAAAAAAAGAGAAATGACCAAATCGATTATCATCAAAATGTTGATGATAATAACCATCATATGTATAATGTTTACAAATGTTATTGATACATTTAATTGTGATGATATTATCATAAGAAAACCTGCACGTTTTGGTAAACGTTTTCTTTTCAATAACGATGATAATAATGATGATAATAATAATAACAATGATGATTCAAATCTAATAATGATCGATAATAATGGTAAACGTGAAATGATACAATCACATCCATGTTTTCGTTTAGTTCGTCGTTCAATATCATCATTATCATCATTATCACCTTCATCATCGTCGTCAACAGCCAATGATGATGATAACGATCAAAATAAACCTCATTACATAACCGAATATGAAATGATCAATCAAAAAAACGATGAAAAACCCATCATATTTTATGAACAACAACAACAACGACAACAACAAAATACAATGACAAAATCAATGAAAATAAAATTACCAAAAAAATTTAATTTAATAATAAAAATTTATTCATTCCTATATGGTGATGGTGGCCATCAACAAATCAATGATTATGATGATGATAATGATGATAATGACCAAGGCGATTAATTTAAAACAAAAAACAAAACAAAAATATTGTTCCAAAACCATTCATAAACGAAATGATTGAAAATGATTAACAAAAAAAATATATATATCAAGATTAGAATCAAATAAACCTAGGGTATAAGAAAAAACGATGGATTTTCGTTGTTGCAATCAATGAGCAATGATATGACCATGATGATGATTATGACGACGACGACAAATTGATGATGATGATCTTTGATTTTCAAAAATTTTTCTTTCTCTCTTTTGATAACAATAATAAAAAAATTTCTTTCATAATTCATTTTGGTTTTGTCTGTTTTTTTCCATTGATTTGTTTTTGAATTAAAAAATAAATTCTATCGTTTAGTTGATGCTATTGTTTTTAATTTTTCAGCCATTTGTGGTCCAGTTTGTTCAATTAGATTATAAAATATTCCATTCGAATCTTGTAATAGATTATTTGGTGTATCAAATTGTGCAACACGACCAGCATCCAATACTAATATTCTATCTGAATCAATAATTGTATTTAAACGATGTGCAATAGTTATTACTGTACAATCATCAAAATTATTACGAATTGTTTGCTGTATTAATGAATCAGTATGATGATCAACATTGGCTGTTGCTTCATCCAATACAAGAATTTTATTTCGTCGTAATAATGCACGTGCTAAACAGATTAATTGTCGTTGACCAACACTCAGATTACCACCACCTTCGGATAATTGATATTCAAGTTTACCGGGCATTTCATTGACAACATTTTTCAATTGAACTTTTTCCAATGCAGACCAAATTTCTTCATCATTACGATCATCAAATGGATCAAGATTTTTTCTTAATGAACCAATAAATGCAACAGGTTCTTGTGGAATGATTGACATTTTTGATCGAAGTTCATGTAAACCAATATCACGACAATTTACATTATCGATTGTAATTTTTCCATCAATTTCAATCATACGAAATAATGCTGCCAATATTGAACTTTTACCGGCACCAGTTCGACCAACAATACCAATCTTTTCACCTCCATTGATTTCAAAACAAAGATCTTTTAATACTGGTGCCGATGAACCATCATAGGTAAGATAAACATGATCAAAAATAACCTGTCCATTTTGTGGCCAATTTTTTAAAAATTTATAATCAGATTTTAATGATGCTTCAGGTTTTAATTCTGAATATTCAATAATCCTTTCAACTGAAGTCATTTGATTTTCAACTTCGGCCGATTGTCTGACGCCCCATTGTGTCATGCCTGTCAAACCTAATGCCATTGAAAAGGCAAGTCCAGCTGTTCCGCTTTGAATACCTATTTATATTTAGAATAAACGAAACGAAACAAATGAATAAATTTTAATGGTCATCAACATCATATCATTATAATAATCATAAGTCATTTTGGGCGAAATTTGTACATTTCAAATCGAATCGAATCGAATCGAATTGGAATCAAACAAAATATACTGAATACAATTAGTAAATGGAAAAAAATAGAAAGAAAAGAAAAGAAAATCCAAAGAAAATTTTCCATTCATTCATTCATTCATTTATTCATTGATACATACCATGATAGAATGCCATCAATGAAATAGCAACAATAACAATATATCCAATACAAATCATATCCATACAAATACCTAAAAATCTTGATGATGCATAACAAACAAAATATGTTGCTGTATGATCATTTTGATAACGATAATATTGATTTGTGAATATTTGTTGTACATTGAATGAACGAATTGTTGCTAAACCATTCAATGTAACAGTCATATGATTGAATAATGGACTACGAGCAATTGCTTCATAACGTTTTAAATCACGAGCAGTACGTATATATGCAGCACGAATAATTAATATTAATATTATCATTATGATTGCTGGAAATATTAGATACCATTGTGATAGGGCAACAACTATACAGGTGCCAATCACCTGAGCAATAATCTAATTTGAATGAAAAGTAAGAAATCATTATTATTATTATTGACTATTCATTGAATAATGAAAAAAATGTATATCATTTTTTACCAACCAAATTCAAATCATATGCAGCCAATGGTAATTGTTCATCAATAATACCCATATCTTTTGTAAAACGATTCAATATTCGTCCTGTTATTTTGAAATTTGAGAAAGAAAAAGAAGATATCACCTTTTGATTGATTGATTGATTGATTGGAATAAATAAATTATTTACCTGTTGGAACTGTATCGAAAAATGAAACCGGTGCACGCATTAAACAATAAAAAATACGATTATGTAGATTGATTGATGCAAATATACACATTGCAAAAAATGTACCCGATCGTATAATCATACCGATAAATTGTGTAACCACCAAAATTGTATAAATTATTGCATTATTTGTTTCAACTGGATGTATTTCATCGGTTTGATCAACTTCAAATGAAATATTAATTGTTTTATTTGTTATAATTACAGTTGCATCTTCACGATTTGTCCAATCAGCCAGCCAAACATCAGTATAATGAAACAGAACTTGTGAAATTATTGTTGATAAAATCATTGATGTCATTAGAATTGGTCCGGAACCGGCACGAATATAATGCCAATAAATTTTCGAACTAATCGATCCTTTGGTTTTTTCTTCATCCAAAATGGCCGGTTCATCGGCCGCAACATCTACACAGGATTCGGCACGATTTAGCTACAAAAAAAAATTATTTTTTCATTTAAATAATTAGATTTCTAGCTTGTTTAGATTACCTCATGTACAATTTGTGTTGTTGAATAACGACTTGTCATTGAATCGGTTCGTACACGATTTTGATTTTCTGAATCTTGACGTTGTAATTCGGATAATTTTTTTTCCACTTTTTCTTTTTCAGTACGTTGTATTAATTTAACTAGATCGATACCTGAATTGATTATTTCATCAAAACTACCATATGCTAATTGACGTCCATCATTTAATATAAGAATTTTTGATGCTTTTCGAATGAATTGCATTTGATGTGTTACCAGTATTACTGTTTTTGATCTTAGATAATATGATATACATCTATATTTTTTGAAAAGAAATTGAGATATTTGACAACAAATCAAATCAAAAAACAATAAAACTTTACTTTTCAAATATATGATTAGCTACTTCAGCATCAACAGCACTTAATGGATCATCCAATAGATAAATATCAGCATCATTATATAATGCTCTTGCTAATGTTAAACGAGCTTTTTGTCCACCACTCAACGATACACCACGTTCACCAACCAATGTACGATCACCATATTGTAATTGTTTTAGATCACGTTTCATTGCACAAACATCAATAACAGCTTGATATTTTTTACTATTAAATGGTTTACCAAATAAAATATTATCCCGAAGGCTACCATTAAATGACCATGGTTCTTGTGATGCATATGCAATACGGCCATTTAATGTTATTGTGCCTGATGTAATTTGTATTTCATTCATCAATGACATTAAAAATGTACTTTTACCCGAACCAACTGATCCAATAACAGCGATAAGTTCACTTTTTTTTATTGTTAATGATAAATTAATTAATGTCGGTTGTTCTTGTTCTTTTGACCAAACAGCATCCATTTGTTTAATTATTATTGAATTTTCATTATTTTTAACTGGAATATTTGTATTATGATATGCAATTGATTGTTGTTCAATTTCATCTAATTCAAGGAATGTTTGTATACGATTACATGATACAGATAATTCGGATAATAATGCTATTGAATTTGGAAATAACCATGTCATTGTATGACGTAATGTATTAACAACGGTCATTACAACAAATACTTTATCAGCATTTAAAAAATGACCTTCAAGTACATATGTGATAAACATTGCAAACAAAACAATACGACCGGCAACCAAAGATATTGAAATATTCATTGCACGTAAAAATGTTGCATTACGAATCTGTATTAATTCACGACGTCTTGCATCGGATACTAAACGTAAAAAATGATCTTCCCATGCATACATTTTAATTACACGCATTCCTTTTATTATTTCCGATACAATACGAATTCGTGTATCGGATAATGCAGCAACTTTTGTACGAACTTTTAAAAATATACGACCATTAAAACTATTGAATGGAATGAATAATATTAATATGGCCAAACCGATAAGACAATAATAACCAATATATTGATAACAGATATACATTCCGATTATTGTTTGTATTGGTGCTGCAATCATATAGCTACCGATGATACAAAACTTTGAAAAAACCACGATAATCATCAATTTTTTGTTATTGCTTTAATTTCTGATAATATTCACTTACCTCATCAAGACGACTAACATCATTGGACATTAGATTTAATATCTGACCAACGGTTGTTGTTTTAAATGCCGAATTATGTAAACGTAATGCTTTTTTATACATTAATGTACACCATGCAACACGTACTTTGATTGCACAACGAACCGATCCATAACATGCTGGATGATGACAAAGAATATAGAAAAATGATGCACCAACAACACCGGCTGCATTTAAACATGCCCACAGATATTGATCATTGGATGGTCGGGCAAAAAAATCAATAACTTTAGCTAACATTAATGGTTGTACATTACGTAAAATACATTCTTCAAATAAAAATAAAATCAAACTAAAAAGCATATGTTTTTTAAATGATTTTACTGTTGCCAATGCAAAACTTGGTTTCTTTTTACGTAATTCATCACGCCAATTTCTATACGGGTAAACAATAATCATTAATTTTTAAAAAAAAGAAACTATAGTCAAACAACAGCATACTTTTCCAATTCATTACATAATTTTTCCGTATCATCCGATGTTGAACATTTAGTAAGATCTTGCATTTGAATTTCATTTCTTAATCCTTTATAATATAATGGAAATACCCATCTACGTATATCGATAATTAAACAATCAATCAATCAATCAATCACAAAATCAATCAATCATTCAATTTGGACTTACGTGCTGTAAATTTTATTGAAAAAAAATGATTGATCAAATTTCGATTCTTTTTTAATGATTTCTTCATGATCCATTTTTGTCGTTGTTGTCGTTGTTGTTGAAAATCAAAATTAAAAAAACTTTGGATTCACACGATGAGTTCCGATGGAAACAAAAACGATAAATAATGAATGAATCTCAAATACATACATCACACACACATTACAAATTAACCGGTTTAATTTTATGATTCTTATTTCTTTTTTTTTGTTGATTGACTAATTTACAACCCTCATCATCATCGTTATTACAATTGAAATAATTATCATTGATTAAGATGGAACCACATTAAACACACACACAATTACCATTATCATGTGTTTTTTAAGATCATAAATTTATTAATTTATAAAAATTTAACTTTGATCGTGTTTGTTGTTTTTCGTTTTTTTTTAAATTTGTTGTAAAATTTGTCGCTTGTGTTTATATGACAAGAAACATAAATTAATTGATTCAAATTGACGTTAATGATGATGATGATAATGGCGGTGGTATATGGACAGAGAGAGAGAGAGAGATCAATTATTACAAGTGAAACAAATGTGTGAAATTGCGTTATTTTTGGCTTCAAATTTTGGTCGAAAAGAGAGCAATAAATCGTACTGGTTTTTTTTTTTGGAAAAAAAACAATATTTTAAGTCATTCGCCGGATATGGATAGAGATCCAAAACAAAACGAAAAAAAAAGATTCGGGTTTATACATTTAAACACACATAACATAGGGTTATCAATGGAAAAATAACAAACAAACAACCAACAAACATTCATTGAATGAGAAAATTCCTTCATTTTTTTCTTTTCATTATCCTGAAGATTTTCCTCATCATCTTCAATCGTCATAATTTTACAGTGTTTTTTTCTACTGTTCAAACATTTTTTTTGAAGATCAAATTTTGTCAAGTTTGTTTGATGCTGTTTTAAAAAAAAAATTTCGAGGTTAAATCCTGAATTATAATTTATTCTTTCTTTTCCTTTCTATATTTAGCCGATTGTATAGATGATGACAAAACTTTTCCTTTACTGTTGGTTTCCAAGGAATCAAATTATCATCATTTTTTTTAAAGAAAAATTTACAAGCAATGATCATAGATGGTGATATAATCGTTTGAAAAATATTGATTTTTATTTTTTATTTATTTGAAAAATATTACAAATTAACTAATTTTAACAATGAAATAAATTTTTTTTTTTTTTTGATTTTATTAAATAAAAAATTTACAAAATTTTGATTAATAATTGTGGTTAATTTGAAATTTACTGATGGTTTTAAAGGATTTTACCTCTTGATGAATTTCACAGGTTTTTCGATAATAGTCATTCAATGGCCAAAAAAAAAGTTGGTTGATTTTATTGTTTGATTTTATCATTTGTTAAAAATCCTGAACGATTTTCGGCATTATAAAATGTGTGCTTAATGGATTTTTTTTAATAACGAATATCTTTCATTCAATAAATTCCAAACTTAAATTGTTGAGATTATAATATCGTATCAATAAAAAAATCTCCACCGCACTTCAGTGTCTCTACCAGAACCACTGGGTACGGCGAAGTGGTTCTTTAGGATTCTTCGAAATATTATCAACAGCGAGGTCCAGGTCGCTTTGATACTGATGTAGAATCTGACCGTTGGGTCAATTCTAGGGCGACCGCAACCCATTCACTAAATTTTGAAAATGTAAATCGAATGTACATACACAAATTAAACGATACAAATATAACTGAGGTTTTTCAACACTAATTTTATTGAATCAAAAGGCATGTGTTTTTATATTCATATTAATGGACAAATGAACAAATAAAGATATTCGAATAAGAGAAAAACTAAGTTCGATCGTCGAACTGTTTTAAAACTGTAATTGGTGTAAGTGTAAATGAAGTACACACAATTTCATTTTCAAATCATACAAATCGATTGCGAGTAAATCAAATAAAATCAGACAAACACGTGGTTAGTTTTTATTAAATCAAAGTGGTTTATTCAATGTTAGCTTCAACAACCGAATGAATAGAAAAATTAAAACATTTTTTTAGATAGCAAGATTGTTTCGAACAAACAGTTCTAAACTTCGAAACTTCGAACTTTTGTTTCTGNAATTTGATTAAATATATTGAAATTATGTTGATTCAAAAGAAATTGATCAGGAGAAGAAAATTGATGAGAACCATCGAACACTTGATAACTTAATCGAATTTCGAATTTTTTTTTTTGAAATTATGTTGTAAATATCGAAACCGTGTTAGAACAAAAAAAACAAAACTTTAATTTTATTAATTTTCGAAATATTGAAGAAAAATATCATGTGTATGTGTGTTCTATGTATATGTGTAATAACACAAAATTTTTATTTTATTTCATATTTCTTATTAAAAATTGGTCTGGGTCATTACAATTTGGATCAGCATTTATTACAAAAGATAAATAATAAAAAAACTAAAAATGAATATTCGCCTGGTTCTTCTTCCAAACCAGGAAGCCTTTCTTCTACATCCAAGAGAGTTCCTCTTTGGAATATTGCATCATTTACATGGTTGGTTGCTGGATATATATGTGTAATAATAATAATAATAAAACTTTATTAAGCGAATATTCTTTCGAATAATTTCGCGAATTGAAAAAATTGAAATGAAAAAATATTTAAAGTAGAGAGCCTAGTGAAAGATAGATTAACAATATTTCAATGAGTAGTATTAACATAATGTATCGATTTGAGTGTTGTATAGATAAATTGACAAAGTTCGATGAATTTTTTTATGTATTTATTTGTTCTGTGTAAATTAATGTAGTGGAATTAACGTGGTTCAATTGTAAATGATATTTAATTTGAGTATACAATGTAAAATATACAAAATGATTAAGAAGGTTCTAATTCTATAAATTGTTCGAAATTGGCCAACAAATCGTACTTGTCATGTTTGGGTTATTTTTTGTGTTAAGGTTTACTAAGAAAAGAACTTAACACATTGAATGCTAAACATCAATTAATTCTTTATTATGATATTTAGTTATTATAAATATAAACAGTTCTATGAAAATATTCGAATAATAGAACATTTAAGTTATAACATAGACACAACATTATTATATTTTTGTTAGTTATTCCTATCTGGATAAATGTTATTGTCGGATGTTTTGCTGTTATCTATTGCGTCGAAAATGTGCTCAAAAGTATTGGATAAAATTAACTGTTATGGGCTTTTTTGTATTAGGAGGATTTTAATCTATGCATATAAAAAATGTTTGAAATTAAGAGATCAAAAGGAAAAAATCATTTATTTGATTGATTGATTTGAAATTGTATAGAGCAAAATATAGAGCTAACACATAACACCAAATCGTATCCATCAAATATAAATGGACAACAAAAAAAACTTTTTGCACAAGCAATGCAAAAAATTTTGGCATTTTACTAAATTATTATTATGATGTAAGGAAAACAATATTATTGAAATATAGAGTATTGTTAAATTCATTTTTATAAGATGTGATAGGATATTGTATTGTTATTGGTTATGAACATTACTACATTGGATTCACATTCATACGGATATAGTTGGCTAACGATAAACGTAAATCATCATTATCACCATCAAATGTATTAATCTTTATGATGATTATAAATTTGGATGGCTGAAATTTAATCATTAGTGAATGATAGGTTAATTGTTCATCATTCGGTTTTCGAACCTTTTCAATCACTGTTTGTCGATATTCACCATTGATATAATAAATGATAACATCATTATATCGAGCAACATGATTTGTTTGTTGATCGATCGAAATTAATCCATCAGCTATTGCCGTTTCAAAATGATAATAAATTTTCATATTTGAATCGACACAAAAATTATCGGTATCAGTTTTGATCGATGAATTTCGAATGCTAATCTTCATAGGCAATAATGAACGATGATCATGGCCAGATTGATGAATGGATGAAATAATTCCAGTCATAAATAATTTTTTCATCCAAGGATTAGATATAGGAATCATTGGCTTAACTTTATAACGAATAACAGAACCAAAAATGACTTCTTTTTCTGATTCTACTGTAGCATTGGGCAGTGATTTTGACAATATCGAAGAAGTGAATGATGGTAATGAAACCTGACCATCATTAAACAAATCTTTTGAAGAACGTGAAAAATCAAACATCTTTATCGATTGCTTCAAATCAATTGTAGTCGATTGATTTTGATCCGATGATGTTTTTTTCGGTATATCGATGAAAAAATTAGGCAATTCTTCTGATGAAATAACTATCCCGAAATGATGCAAATTTCGAGAAATATCATCAATACCATCAACATTCGAACGTTTATCATCGCCATCCAAAATGATAAATGTTATTGGTTTATGAAAAAAACCAATACCAGTTTCGATTGTTAGGATACCGATTCTTTTATAAATATTTCGTTTGGCTATATATTTGGGCAATGGATCCAATGTTATTTCACCAAAATTAAAATTTTCCAATTTATCGAGAAAACTTTTAAGAATATAATTTGAATTGATATCAAAATTCAACATGGCAACGATTGATGATTTGATTTGATTTCGACATTTACTAATCAAATTTACAATAAAAGTTGTTGGTTTTATCGAAATATTCGGTAATGATGATGATGATGATGAAAGTGGTGCAGGTGTAGTAATTTTTTCTGTCCATTTAATATTAGAGGCGTTCAATAGGTTTAAATCATTCATTGATTTGAGTAAGGATGATGATGAACATTCAATTTCCCATGAATTGAGATTCGAGTTACGGTATTCTAGAATCGGTTTTGGACGTATAATTTTCGTTTGTATTCGATTTTTTTCAACTAAAGGCGCTTTTATTGAATTCAATGATAACGAATTACCATCACTATCGGAAACAGTTTCAAAACCGGAATCGGATCTTGATGAAATATCACTCGAAATAGATTCTTGTTCTGTTTGCTTGTATAATTTATAAGCATAATTAACATGTCTACATAGGTGAAATGAATGACGAAATTTATGTCCAATATAAAAACAGGCTGGACAAAAGTGTTTTTGATTTGTCAATTGACGAAATAATTTAAAAAGAGTATGCCTATCCGGCACGGGAGGTTCACGTTGAATTTGGCCAAAATCATCATTCGACGATAAAGAATTTTGTTCTTCAAAGGTCTTGCTGTTTCGATCATAATCTTTATTATCATCATTATCATTGCTAACGCCATTGTTATAATAAGAATGAGCATTGTTATCGACCAATTTCAAACCATACAATTCAATTAATTCATTAACTTTTGATTCGAAACTATTGTTAATGAAATTATTGGATAAATTAAATTTCATCAATAATACTTGATGAATTTGGCGAAGTTTATCAATACAATTTCGAAATGATCGTTTTTCACTACGATTGATGCAATTCTTTCGTTTACAATTTCGATAAAGACTTTCAAAACGATTGATATAACAAATTTGAACATTCAAACAGGTTTTATAATCTAAATTTGAATAAGACATTTTTCTTTTCTTTTCTTTTTGTATCTGTAAAGAAAAACAAATGTTTAAATTAACAAACAAAACAAAAAAAATCAAAATTTTCATTTGAATTTTATACCCCAAGAAAGAAGAAGAAGAAGAAAACTCAAACATCTCAAGTGCGATGTGTGATGCACACAAAATCAAAATGTTCGATTTCATCATTTTCAACCAACTCGTATACGGGAAATAATCATATCTATTTTAACCTGAATAGTTAGGATAATTTTTTAGTGTCAGAATAGTAATCGAAATAGTTTTTTTTTGTTATTGTTATTAACCGATGAATATATTAAAATGCCATTGTAACGGCATCTAGTGGATTTATTTTTTGATTAAAAACAAATTTTTTTATTATTTGGAAAAAAGAAATCAATTTGTTTGTTGATCTTTTTTTTCCAGGTAAATTTTAGAAAAAAAATTCAGTGTTTAAATCGGTTAAAAACTTTGGTTAATTAAAATTAAAAATTATCGCCATTGACGACCTTTATGTTGACTCCAGGTACCTTCAGTCATACGAAATAAACGTTCACGTTCTTTTTGTTGTCGTTGTTCATCAAGTCGTTTTCTTTCGATTTCTTGTTGTTCTTGTCGTATACGACGTTCAGCATCGGCATGATAATCATGACCAGAAGGTTTATCATTCGAACGACGAAATGCTTCATTATAACGATCTTTTAACGATGATGACGACGATGATGATGTTGATTTTGATGCACCGGAACTTGTTGATGATGATGACCACAGAGAATCTTGTTGTTGTTGACCATATTTTTTACGTTTATCATCATCACGATTATTTCCATTGTTACCACCAGCACCAAAACGTTTCATTGTTTTTGAAAATAACCAAAATATTGTTTTCGTTTGGTCAGATGATTGGACCAAATTTTGGTTATCGATTGATCTTTTATACATCTTTCTTTCAGAAAAAAAAATTTTCAAATGGTCCATAAAAACAATGGGTTAATTATGAGAAACAACAAAAAAAAGGGTTGAAAATCAATCAGGTCGAAAAAACAAAACAAAAGAATCATTCGAAAATTCGAAAATATAGGTCGATTGTTTTGCTTCATAAAAATTACTCGTGCAACATGCTGATGGGTCACACAGACATTCGAATCTTTTTTTTTCACTTTTTTCGAATGTTAACCCCATCAGTTACATCATCGGATGATAATAACCTTAATTTTTGTTTCTATCCAATAACATTCGATAATGATGAATTTGTCTAGACAACAATGATGATCACCAATCAATCGAAACGGAAAGAAAACGATACTATCGATTTTAGGTCAATTTTTTTCTTCGAAAAAAAAAAGGTAAAAGTTATGTAATTCAAATTGAATTATTATATTTTTTGTTTTTGTTTTCCCATGAAAATTGAATAATTGTTTTATCGGAAAAGATCAAAACAAAAAAAAAATTGATGTTTTCTCTTTTTTTTTTCTTGGTTTCTTCTTCATCATCATCGGTATCGTTTGTGTTTGACCACCAATGATAATGATGTTGATGACCAAAACAAAGATCTAATCAGCAAAAAAATAAAAAAAAATCTTAATAATTTCCACTTTTCGTATACGATTGATTAATCATTTAAAATGTAAGAAAAATTGTCATCATTAATTCTGATTTATGAAATATTGAAAACATTCTTGGAAATTTAATTGATACCGGTGTTTATGTGAGCGGAAAATTTTCCCGAAAAGAATCGAATGTTAATAAATCAAAAGTGAAAAAATTTTTGATTATTTATAAATTGAAAGTATCCACGATTATAAATTATGAAAAAATATTCCATTTTAATTGATCATTTGAATAAAAGAATCAACAAACGTAATGGTGCTGAATGACAAAAATTATCATCATCATTATTTAAATAATTGATAATGATTAACGATGATGTGATGATCATCGGGTTGAAGAACCTTTTTTTCCTATTCGAAATGAGAAACAAAAAAATTCCCCAAACAATTCCGTACATCGAACCCTTTTATTTTTCCTTTGTTGGATGGACATGACAAGAATACAATACTAAAGAATCAAATGTTGATTTTTCAATTTGTTTCATCCGAACATAAATAAACATCGATTCTCATAATGATCATCGAAACAACAACAACAACTATTATGACCATTAAATAATCAAAAGATAATCGATTGATAATTTTTGACAGAACAAAAAATGATAATTTGCCATTCATTTTGATTTTGATTTGGGTAAATTTTCAATTCCATTTATTATGAAAACATTTTAATGTTTTTCTTTCTTTCTTTTCATATAGTAACTATAGTGAAAAAAACCAATAGAAAATGGATGTTAATTGATTGAATAATTTGATGGCCATCATTATAATTCAGATTTAGATGATTTAAAAAGGTTTTGGGTTTTCTATATGTGTTATGAATAAATAATTTTTTGGTTTCTCCAAATCACATCCTTGAAAAGTAAGTTTTTTTTGTTTGAATTGAAAATTTTGATTGTTCTTTCGCTTTCGTTTTCTTTTTTTTTTATTTTGCAAACAAAATTCGGTGTAAATGAATCTAATTATCATCATTGAATATTATGTTGAAATGACACATTTGTTGTTGATTGATTGAAATTTATTTTGACAAATCATTTTGAAAAATTTACTTTAATAGTTGGGTGTACAAGTAAAGTCAAAATGAATTATTATTATCATTTTAATTTGAAAACGTTTTTCTTTGATGATGATTATGACGATGGTAAAATTGTTCAAGTTATTTTTATCGAATATTTTTTATTTCGATTCTGCTATCGATTGTTTCGACCTTCACAACAACAACAAAAAAAATTATCATTTCGAACACAGAAGGGAACATGTCAAAAATTTATTTTTCTCCCCTTGATTTTGATTTTGTTCGGGTCGATGTTTTGTTTGATTTTGGTGCCACCATCAAAAGTGAAAAGTTTCCGTTGCTTATTGAAATTGAAAATGATGAAAAAAAAATAAAAAAATTGTTGTTTACACAACCTGACCATGAACCTCGACAGAATGATAAAAAGATGATAATGATTCATTTTCTTTTCTTTTTTTTGTTCAAATCAATCAGGTGAACCGAATCGAAACAACAAATTGAATAAACGAATGAATGAATGAATTGAAGCGAAACAAAATGAAATTTGAAAGAATTATCAATTGAAATGAAAGTTAAAGAACAAAGCATCATTATTATAATGAATAAATGATCATCATTATTATTTGTTGTTGTTGTTGTTCACGAGTTTGAACCTTGTGAACCTTGTATTTTTATTTCATTTCATTATCATCACACCGGATTCTATTCTATTTCAAAAGGCGGCTCACCCTCAAATTGATTTTGTTCATTGTTCGGTAAGAATCATCATTTAATAGCCATAGATTTGCCATTAAAATTTCTTTCTTTTTTCCTTTTTTTCTTCTTGAAATTCCCGTCATAAAAAACCGATAATTAATCAAAATAATTCGATTCATATCAATTAATGATACCTTTTTTTCTACCAAACAGAAACAAGTATCATAAAATTTATAAACAAGATAGAATCACGATCAAAAAAAGATTAATTACAATTTTCACACCAACACCATGATCTTACGTGATATCAAGATCTTTGAGTTACATTCATTCGATATTATGACTTAAGCAACCGATTTCAATTGAATTTTTTTTATGGTTTTGATTTGTTTCTGCTCATTCATTCATTCATTCAAAGATCATTACCTTCAAATAGTGATCAAATTCATTCAAAAGAATGAATGTCATACCAAAAATCAATTGTCTACAATCAATTATTTCCTCTTTACTTTTTAAATTATTGATTGCTACCTGACCATTATAATTATGAATTCTTCCTTATTGTGGTACAATTTTGTTGTTGTTGTCGTTAGCATTGGCGAATACAATTTGCTAACAATGTTGACAATGTAAACACGTGTCGAAAACTTCTACGTGTGTGTTTGTATACATCGATTCAAAACAAAATGAATCATCATTATATGGCGACATTGTTTAAAATGAATGAATGTTTTTTATGAGTTTTTGAATTTTTTTTTTTGGATAAGGAAAGTTTTTTCGTTGTTTCAATTCAAGAAGTGGCAAAACAATAACTCCAACGTGATAATTAACTGGTAAAGAAGAATCAATTTTTTTTTTGGAATGATTAACAGCTTAATAGAAAAGGCTTTGACATATGTCAAAATGACAATGATAACTTCGTTGAAAATGATGAACAAAAAGGATAAAATGAATCGTTTTTTTTCGGGAAGTTTTATGGAAAAAAAATTCAAGTTTTTCTATTCCATTGATTCAAACCAACAAACCATTCATTCGGGTTTCTTGTTTTATTTTTCCAACAAAAAAAAAAAAATTCATTCATTTACTCGCTGATTATTAAATCCATAACAGACGACAAACATCCTCATCATCATCGCATCGGTTTGACATCTTTGAAAACATCTTGAATAAGACAACATCGATGATGTCCAATGCTTGAAGAGAATCTTTTTTTTCCGTGTATTCAACACTGGCATGTCATTTTAATGGTTGTCGTGCTTGTGTCTTGTGGTGTTGTCTGTGTGTAATTGGAAACCTAAATTGTGAATTTTTTTTTCTTAAATTTCGAGAAAAAAAATTTTAAAGAAATCAATTTGTTCACTCTGTGTGGGTGTTTGTGAAGTTCAATTTGATAAAAAGTTTTTTTCTGTACAGCATCAGAAAATTTTTCGATTCCGGTCGTGAATGTTAATTTTGTTGTTGTCGTCGTCGATGGTGATATTTCAAGTTTTTTTCAATTTCAATTTCTACCACATTTCATGCTTGTTTAAAAAAAAAGCAGAATGATAAATTTGTCAAAAAAAAAGAAAAAATTCAATTTGTATTCAATGTTATCCATTCATCATCCTGTTTTGATTTTCTGGTGTTCGTGTCTGTTTGTATGAAACAATGTAAATCGATATTTAAATTTATTCATTTCATTTAGTAACTTTATGACAAGAATCACAAGCAAAAAGGAAAAAATTCTATTGTTTTATTCAAATGTTAATCGATGATTATTAATCGATTAGTTCATACCCCCTCCAATCACATAT